GCCCTGGAGACACAAAAGCAGGAAACCGACTGTCGCCAGATCTTTATAAAGATATTTATATTATATACAGTGTTATAAATAACTGAATTATTAATGTTGTACCATTTATACAAGAAAATATGTTTAACTAGTTAAAAGTCCTTCATACGGTTGTGCCAAAATTAATGTTGGTGAATTACTGTACATCTGTCATAATTATTGCCATCATCATTGTCATTACCACTGTCATAAACATTGCTAACATCAACACTGTGTGTATCATTGTCGTCATTACTATTATCATCTTTGTCATCATTATCGTCATCATCGTCGTCGTGTCATTGTCATCACCATCATCATCATCATCATCATCATCGTACCATCATTATCTACACCTTATCATCATCATCATCATCATCATCATCATCAACAACATCATCATCATCATCATCATCATCATGTTTCAACAAGTATAATTATCATAGTGTAAAGGAATTAATTCAATGTATTCCACTTGTTTAAGGCATTATAAAAAAAAATAATTAAAAAATAATGATGATGACGATGATGACGAAGTTAAACAATTTCTGGAACAACTGCCATTCCATGCATAATAGCTAAAATTTAGCCATTTACTTACCGTCTCTTTCGACACTTGCCATGCTTGAAATACCACTGTCCCTAGACGCCACAAATGGCGAACCTTCATCATCATCGGAAATAGACGTACTATGCCGTCGCTTAAGAGTGATCGGTTTAACCTTTTTCTCAAAATCTTTCATCATTTTTTCGACATCTACGGAGTCTGAAAGAAAAAGGAATGCCATTATTTGTATTATATTTTGGAATTCAACTGGATTAGGAAAACCAACTGGTATTCAGAATCGTCTAAGTGCGAAAGTGCTAAATTTAGCAATAAAGATGAAGAGCTTGGTTTTTTGAAACACACTTAAACAAGACACATGATGTTTTAAAAATATTCGTCCTTTACCGGTATGTCTCTACAATGTCGACGTTTGATTTATATATTTAACTTTTGGGTCACAGTGGAACTGAGCAATTATAGCCTGAAAATTGCCTGCTGCTGTCAGTGAACAAAGAAAATTCATCAATATTTAAATTTCCTTTTGTACTCAGTACATCACAGCTGCATAGCAGAGTAGTTTTACCTGTACATCATATTATATTCACTCCGTCATTCACTGAACAAATACAGTAACTAATATATCGGTAAAGTACAGAATGAAATGGATGCAATTTAAATGTACAGTATGATGATCTTAACCAGTGTGACAACATAATTATTTGATGTATGCTAAGCTCCAGTTTCCATAAAATCGCTATCACTGCAGCTTTCGGCAACGCTGATTGGTCGTTCGAATAGGAGAGGCTTCCCGATTGCGTCGATGACAGCTTGTAACAATTGCAGTAAAATACTGTAGCGACACTGAAGCGATTTTATGGAAACTAGGGTTACTTTCGACACAATTACTGACCGTTGAATTAAATCTAAAAAAATCATGTCGGAATTGGTTTCCACAACAGCTGAACAAAATATCAAATAAAAAATATAACAACAAAATCGGTTATCATCATCAGCATCATTAATATTACTATTTAATTATTATTATTATTATTATTATTATTATTATTATTATTATTATTATTATTTATATTTTTATTATTATTATCATTTCTTATGATTATGGTTATCAGTATTTTAAATATTATTATTTACAATATTATTGATATTTTTACTATCACTATTATTATTACTATAAGTATTATTATTATTATTATTATTATTATTATTATTATATTTATTATCATCATCATTATTAGACTACTCAATGCTACCAAAAGATCGGCGCCTATAGCATACCTGATGACTCAGAGTCTGTATCGCTATCGTTTATAGTGGTTTCCGCCATCTGAAGTGAAAAAGAGATCATTAAAAAGTAACACTGTGCATAGAGTACAACAGTCGTGTCGTCACAACACCAGGCGGCACCCTTTGTTGTCAACCAGACTTTGGTTACTGTTCATTACGCCTGAATGTCTTTATAATCTTAATGGTTTAGGATAGGTTTTCTGGAAAAGGTATTTAAACCTAATAATTTACCATCAAAATGTACTAAAAACACAAAAGCTTTAATTAGTTATCGAACACACATTTAATCATCAATTAAAATTTACGTGAAATGAACTGAATACTCAGTACGTTTGAAAACAATTGCGAAAAAAATCGCAAGTTGTTCTTGGGTGGGACTCGAACCCACGATCTCCAGAACCAGCATGGCATCATACCTCTAGACCACCGAGCTTGCGCCTGATGGCCAGGGTTGAATTAGAGTCCAAGTAAGTAGTGGGTACTGCAGTGTTGATAGTAATTGTTATTGTGGTGACTGAATAGACAATAACTGGATTTGCGCCCGGAGAAACATGTATATGTATAATTTTTGCCCTACCTGACGTGAAATGTACGTTTGAAATTAATTGCGAAAAAAATCGCAAAAATCATAATTATAATAAATATAATATTTGATTGGATTGGAGTTTTTATGTGTGCCATAAAAAATAAACTTTGTCTAGTTGGGTATTTCTGGCGTGAATTGGGCAGCACAATGGGAGACAACTGTGGTGATAGTAGTGGTAGTGCTGGTGGTCGAAGTGCTGATACGCAGCAGTAGTAACAGTAGTAATTATTAACATTATTGTAAACAATATAATGTAAAACAACAATTTAATACATACATTAAAGCGTCTTCTGTAGGTTATGTATTTCATTTTTTGGTCGGTGATTGCGAGGAGTTTTTCCATGTCCCTTTTGAGATTCTCCCAATCACGAGAATGAGGCTTGTCCTGCTTCCACAACTGTTCTTCAACTTTTAGCGCCTCCTCAAAGTGTTGCTCAGCTGTCTTTAGGTTACCTCGATCCTTCCACTTTAGATAGAGTGAACCCAGAAGATAATAAGCGCGTGCCGTGTCTGTGTGGATGCCTAACAATTCAACACGCCTTCTGAGGCACCTTTTACCATATTCGATGGCATCCTCATATCTGAAAAATAATAATAATCATAATAATAATAGCAATAACAATAACTTCGCCATGCAAACCTTCAAATAACAATACTAATAATAATATTATTAATCATAAAAGTAATAACAATAATATATATCATGTAATATTTAATATATATATATATATATATAAATAAATATAAATATGTATATACCTGTATATATATATATATATATGTATGTATATATGTATGTAATATATATATGTATGTATATATATATATGTATGTATATATATATATATATATATATAACACTGTATTTACCTTTCTTTGATGATTTATATGATTAAACAGTGTTAACGGCTACCTTGATTTATGTTATATGCACCTATTTGTTTCTAGCCGTACTTATTGTGTAATAGAGTGTATCTGGCTGTCTCTTATACACATCTAATTACTACATTACGTTTTAACTGAAAATTAATAAAGACCTTTGTAATTGAAAAACAAATTATCTATTAGATGACACAACCAACCTTTGAAAAATTATGGATCCACCCCTGCTTTCTAACAACACTAGTCCTTCCTCAGTGGCGAATGAGTGAGGAATGAGTGAGGGTGAAAAATGCCAGATAGGGCATAAAGAATTTCATGGAAGCATGATTGGAAGGAATAGGCTTGGTGAGATGAGAATAAACAACGTGAACAAAGAGTGAACAATGTGCCCCAACCCCCGTCAGTCCCGCCGAAGAATAACAAAAAAAGAGGGAGAAAAAAAGTGAGACGAGTTAAGGGGAGGAAAGAGGGGAAAGAAAGGAAGTGTACCCAGGATATTGCTAAGCCCCGCAAACCTCCAAAAAAAAAAAACACCGCAAACCCCATTCAAACCCTGTGATAATGATTGAATCACATAGTATAGGACTCGATTTGGTATCTCAATAAAAAAAATCCTAATTTTATGTTCGTCACAACCTTTTTAGGGTAAAAAGGCCATTTTTGTATAAAAAATTTGCTAAACCCCGCAAACCCCCCAAAACACAGTGCAAACCCCATCCAAACCCTGTGATAGTGATTGAATCATGTAGTATAGGACTCACTTGGTATATCAGTAAACAAAAAATTATAATGTCACAGCAGTGGGCGAAAGGAGAGCTAGATTATTTTACCACTCACTAATTTTGAATTTTCTACTGATTGACGCCAAACACAACCTTACACCACATCGCCGACGATTTCATAAACCAGGATGTAAAATAGGCCAAAAGACGGAGACCCAAGACGAGATTTTTTAGCCCCATGTAGTGTACCCAGTTATAAAGGCTATCCATACCACCGACCCTTAGGGGTCCCTGCGGTAACCCTACCCATAAGATCCTCGCTCTATGGCACCCTGATCTAAAAGGGCTTTGTTATACATAACAGAATAATATGTCTCTGATAGGACATATAGGACACATATTATATTAATCCAGTGGGAATGGGGTGCCCAGCCGACAGGACCTCCACATTTGTCAAAATAAAATAAATGGAGATAAAATATTCAAATTTTAACTCTGAATGAGTGTCATTTTCGAACATCTAGAGGTGCCATAATCATAATTTGCTTTGCGACTCCCAGTATAAAATAGACTGTAGGTTTATAATTATTTTGCAACGCTCTTGATGGAAAGGGTGTCTAAGTGAGGGGAAGCAGATCTCCCGTCGGGAAAAGTCAACAATTTCGTCGAGGAGAATGCTGCTTTGAAAAAAACATTTTTACCATCTGAGAGTGCCATTTCCGAGCATCTAGAGGGGCATATTCTTAAAATTTGCCCTAAATTCTAAGGGAGGGGGTGCAGATCTCCCGTCGGGAAAAGTCAATAATTTGTCGGGGAGACTCAAAGCATTTTTAACATCTGAGAGTTTTACCATGCGAGAGTGCCTACGGCCCCAGACATCCTTATTTCGCAATTCGTTCCCTCACCTCACCGAATGATACAGTCGCAGCTAAATATTATTACCGAATGATACAGTCGCAGCTAAATATTATTACCGAATGATACAGTCGCATCTAAATATTATTTCCAGGGAACGAAATACTATTTCTAGGGAACGAAATAATATTTCGTTCCCTCGAAATAGTTTAATAGTTTTTCTAACCATGTCCCTTTAGGGGCTCCGTACTCATTGGCTGGTTTAAGTGAAGCCACTGACGCCATTGGGGCGTTTTTCTTAACGGGTGTGACAGTTAACAGCAATGACATCGCTAGTTGATTGATTGGAAGGATGTGGAAAAAAAATCATAAAATATATATTTTATGTTAATAAATATCACTAGATTTTTTTTTCCTTTTTAAAATAATAATTAAAATAATAAAAATGCAAAAAAATAGACTAGTACAGGTTACTTAACTATACTTAGCCTCTTGCATGGCACCAGTGGCTTCAGTATTTGCTACACAGTAAATGGCCAATGAGTATTCAAGCAATTTATAGTGAAGGTCAGTGATCCCATTTTAATATGAAAAGATACGATAAAAGATCACAAACCTGTTCTTGTCGCTGTATGCAAGGGCAAGGATTCTGAGTGTTTTAACATAACCCTCCTCGTTGTCAATCAACATTTCCTCTTCCACTCTCAAGGACCACTTGCAATACATAATAGCATCGTCAATTTTTTCTAACTGATAGTAACAAGAACCAATGTTTGCTAGATACACTGGAATATCTGGATGATTTTCTGACCCAGTTAGTTCCTTTTTTAGTTCATATGCCTTTTTGTATAATTCCAACGCTTCTATTATTTTGCTCTTCTCACAGAGATTACTGGCTCTTTGGAGTCTAGAGTTGTTCAGAATCACATCTGCCATAGTGCTATAGAATCGAGCAGTGTTTGTGTTTCTCAGATTTAGTTCTTTTACAAGAGCATAAGCGATTTGAATCCGCTTATTGGCCATATCTAAATCTTCTAAACATGTTGTACAAACATTACCCCATTGTTGATATAGCAGAACAAGTGTTTCTTTCTCTTCAGCGTTCAGGTAATGAAAGGGCTTTTCGACAAAATATTTTTCTGGTAATAATTTGGATAACATACTGGTTAGGAAGTTTTTTACTAAGTGTACCTCTTTCGTTTCTGGGGGTTTTAACAGCATTCGCTCAGCATTTTCAAACAGAGGTAGAATGTCTCCGTAACGATGATTTATTCTGGACATCTGTAACCCTTCATACGCTGACATTTCAACAAATTCCAGTGTGCTCTGGTTCTGGTGTGCAAGCTCTCGCTGGGCTTTGAAGTACTTGAGTCGTTCTTTTGTAGAATAAAACAGTTCAATTGTACTAGATATCAATCGCCATTCATCAACTCCAATGTCTCTCTTTTGACTTTGAAGTAACTTAAGAAGTTTTTGAAAGTTAGCAGCGTCATCATTTTTTTTCTTCATAGCTTTCTTGTATCTTAGTTCGCTCATAGTTCCTATTTCTTTTAGATCTTTCAAAAAATGTCTAACAAATGCCTGTTCTGCTAGGTTGTAATGTTTTGTTAAGGATGTATCAATCTCGGCTACACCCTGCAAGAACTGTCGCATCAGTAGATGGATCCCGTAGCGTATTTCTGACTTGTTGGTTTCATTTACAAATGTCTCAATCAGATTTCTGTACTTCAGATCTTGGAGCTGGAGGTTCACCTCCACTTCTTCAGCTGGCGTCTTCTCAAAAACTGCAAGAGCTGCATGACTTGTAAATGTACCAGGGAATGCGGACAGTCGAATTAGATGGAGCTTTTGCTTCTTGGGCAGACTATAAAATGTGTTGCTTAAACATGCCTCTAGATTTACTTCACCAGGTAATCCAAGTTCTGTTACGTCATGAGGATTTTTTTCTAAATATTCGATTAATTTATTCGGTTGTACAGTATGATCCTTTAGACGACTGCCGATGACTTTCAAAGCTAGAGGGCACTTTCCACATATTTGTATTAGTCGTTTAGCCTCTTTATTCGATATTTCAGTATTTCCGGAATAGTATTCGAGGATTTTCTTTGCGTCATTATATTCCAGCTCTTTGGCCGTAATCGAAATAATCTTATGGCGGGTGCATAATTCTTGAGGAAATCCCTCTCTGGATGTGATTAACACCTTCAGACTGTTGTTGCCGCATTCAATGATTCTCTCAATTAGTTCAACAAAGTTGCTGTACACGTCATCGTTTACACCTTCTTTCGGGGTTTTTAGAGGACGATCAGCATTGTCAAATAAAATTACAGTTCCATCTGTTGGATAGAAACACGAGAGGCATTGTCATTACAACATAAAATTACAAGAATGAATAAAGTCAGTATTCCTGAAAGCATAAAAAATATCGCAAACACACTATAGGGATTATGTAACAGTTATAAAATTAATAGAACAGTAAGTCAATAATACTCAGGAATTAAAAACTATTATCATTAAACTTCATGTATGAATTTAAAAAAAAAAGAGTAGTATGGTATAAGACTGGTGATTGTGAACAAACTTTAAAGAAATGATTACAAAACTCAACAAACCCAGTTGTCTTCTCTCTGGGTAGATTTTTGGACTTTTTGACTTCAGTATGAGAAGTAGCACTACGCAAAAATCAACTACTTAATTTTAATTTATTATTATTATCATTCATTCATTTATTCACTCACTCATTCAACTATTCACTCATTGTTTTATTGATTATTCATTCATTCAATACCTAATTTATTCATTCATTAATTCATTAATTTTTTCATTCAGTTATTCATTTATTTAGTTAAGTCATTTATTCAATTTTTCAGTTTTGAAGTTTTTTAATATTTATTTATTTTTTCCTTTATTCGTTGATTAATTAATTAATTATTTTTATTTATTCAATCATTTATTTAATCACATTTCTTTTTATCATCTAACCAGATATGAATATTTAGGGACCAACATCTACGAAGATGCTAGCCAGATTGATGAAATTAAAAGAAGGATAACAATTGGGATGAACAAAATCAAAAAGATGAAGTACTTATATGGAAATTTAGAAACTTTTAAAAAGAATGTAAAAGAAATATTTTATTGATAGGGCCAAGGGTTTGGATTTAGTCTAATAACTTTAATCTGTAAAGAATTTTTTATTTGATTGAGCTAAAGTCTTGATTCGTAGTTTGTTTTTGTTTTTTTGTTTTGTTTTTTTTTTTGTTTCTTACTGTTCTTGTAATTCAATTTTTCTTTAATCATGCGGACCCCATTGGAAATAAGTTCCAATTGGAACTTTTATGGGCTATCCGGCATCTCTTGAATTTCGTCCCTTTTTTTTTTATTGTGTATGTATTTTCTTGTATTTTATGTATTTTTTAATGACTTGTGTTTTTGCTGTATTTTAAGAGATGCAAATAAATCAATTCAATTTAATTCAATTCAAAAAGTCCAGAACCTAAATACAAAATTTGCAATCTTAAGAGCGTGCATATTCCCTACAGCTATATATGGATGCGAGTCCCAGATTCTAAGGGAAAAGGCTGCCATAAATGTTTTTGAGATGAAATGTTACCAAAGAGTAATGGTTGTTTCGTGGCGGGAACACATAACAAATCAATCAAAAAGAGAACAATTGGGCATTGAAAAAACTGGCTAATTATGTGATTTCGAAACTCAAATTAAAATACTTTGTTCACATCAAATGTCACAATTGTCTAGAGAAGATATTTATGGAAGGTAGAATAGAGGGGAAAAGACGTAGAGGACGGCCAAGGAAACGATGGGAGAAAGACATTGAAGAGCTACTAAACATCAGCGTTGTCGAAGCAGGCAGAATGGCAACAAAAAAAGCTTCCTTCCGTGTAGTTATCAGGGATGCTACGTCCAACTGAGGATTTGCAGGATATAACTAACTTATTCATTTATTCATTTTTTTCATTTATTCTTTTATTCATTTATTCATTCGTCAAGCCTTCATTCAGTTATTCACTTATTTAGTTTTTCATTTATTCCTTTATTTATTATCTAGATTAACGTCCGTATTTTTAAAACAAACTTTAGTCGAAATTCGAATTAGAACTTCATTTAGTGATAGTTGCAACTTCAACTTTAATTTGTATTCACAAACAACGTAGTCGAAGTTGTAACCACGACTAAATCACGTCCTAGTTTTAGTTCAACTGAAGACGACTGGCAAGCCACGACTATCAAACTAACCAAATAGCAGACGAAATTTTAGAGATTAACACAGATAAATATTAAGCTACCGTGTGTGATTCAAAAACATATTTCCTCATAATTCATAGTAGTAGACCATCATTCGCTTAATTAATTTTCTATAATAATATCTATATTAGTTGTTAACATATTACGATAAAGAATTTGAACAATCACTGAAAATTTGCTTTCTTTGGAGAACTATTATAATTGAGCCCGAGCGAGGGCAGCGCCATCTTTGTTGTTATGGTGAAGCTGGGTGATCGCAACGTGAGGGGATTTGATGCAAATCAGGAACCATTGCATGTGGCTAGCAAAACATTTAAATTTCTCCTTTTGGAAGCTAAACTTGATGTCTCTTTTGTTTAACACACCGAAGATATTTCAAACATACGTATACAATCATTTGTATTGGTTTCACTTTATCGCGAGTTACAAAAACACGTTTTTAGTGGGGTAAGTATTTCAAGTCGGCGATTTAGCCTGACCCTAGGCTGACTAAAAAAATCGGCCTGCGGAGGTATCATTTTAGTCGAGGTTCGCGTCATTTAGCCATAGTGCTAGTCGAAGTTCATTTTAAGAATATGAAATGACGTAATTTTTAAGTTTCAGCTCAAACTACGACTAAAATTTGTTTTAAGAATACCGAGTACCTCTTATCAGATAGTATAAACCATCGCTGTTCTCGTTTGCCAATAAGTAACTATTAAACATGCTGTTTTTGATGTATAAAATTGTTGAGAAAATGACTTGAGTTGAAAATATTTCTACAAAATTTTGACTATCTCAAAGCTTATCTATCTGCTAGTTACGCACCACTGGTTTAGTTGTGTGGCCCGAAATGGTGGAATGAGTGACACTGGTCATGTGACCTGAACCGCTCATGTCGCAACTCTCTCTATAAAACTCTACCTAGGTACAGAGCCCTATATATAAAGAGTTGCGACATTCCGCTCCTCGGTTTGCGAAAGTCACGTGGTATACACCGTCCATTTTTGTGTCCAAATCTTCCCGATGAACACATGCAATTTATATGAGTTTAGGTACATTACACAATATTTTCACATGTTTATTGTGTTTATAATGTTATTACTTAGTTAATAACTATTTAATATCAAAAGCATGATTTAGAATTTATCTTTAAAATTCAAATATTTGCACGTGTTCACACGCAATTGATATTTAAATGCGAATTACATCGAAATTATAATTGGAATGTTAAAGGTTCATCTATTCTATGACTGAAAAGACCTTCTTATCAAAAAAGTTATGTTTTTGCTCTTTACTTTAGGCCTACACAATATCAGTTTTATTGTGGCCAACTGATCTATATTATTTTAATATTTATAAATAATAACAATCAAATATAAGCTTTGTATAGGGCTTGCTCATATTCAAATTTAAAATGCAACAATAGTAGATACCATTCGGATTATTGGAATCGATAAAGGCTAAAAGTTAAATGATACTGGCTGTTCAATTTTGGACTGCCAACACAGATTTTGATAAAGCAAACAGGAAAAACGACATGGTAACACAACCAATTAAGGAGACAAAGGATTGCCCTTTACTTTTTAAACAAAATAATTTTCTCTGACGGTGATAATTTGGCGTAGGCCTTACTGTAAATTAGCGAACAAATATTATGCGGCCCACTCGACATATGCTACTTTAATATTTTTTTTACTATAAATAATAATAATAGGAGTGATTTTTGGCAAAGAAACCTATAGTATATCATTTTTTATTTGATTATTATAATTAGAATGCTGATCGCATGGGAGAGAGAATGCGGATCACGTTGGACACGGAATGGCTTCTAAATTCTCAATGTCGCAACTCTTTCTATCTATGGCTCTGGCTAGGTATATTTAGACGCACACGGAGCCCTTCTTTTTCCACTAATAGAGGAAAACTTTATTACTAATCTGAGTCCGGTCATACGATTCTGCGCTTTTGTGTCGGTCATTTTATTATTTTGATTTATTTATGCCTATATTTGTTTGTATCTTATGGATAATGGCAACGATTTCAACCTTCGCAAACGGAGGCAGAAGTTTTTTACATCCAGCCGTAGGCGGCGTCCCATCGTTTGTATTCCCACCATGCATTTCGGTGAAACAGTTTTTTTTTTTTTTTTTTCTGTGGGGAACTCTATCTTGTGTTTCTAGCATCTTTGACTACACACAGAACAAACTGTACACGGAGACATCCCATGAAATCCCATGCCATGTCGCGTAGACTAAGACATGAATGTAATAAGATAAATTAGCATCCAGCATCCTAAACTAGATTTATGAATTAAATACTTAAACTATAATAGAAAGTCTCACCAAAATTAGTAGATTTACCCGCTTAATGCAGCACAAATGAGCATTCCTACGAAACCTGTCTTCCCGGCTTGACAGACTGTACTGTGAAAGTGTATGAAATTAAACAAGTGCACCCTCTACCGGTTTAATCGTATTGAACTTCTCTAACCCTACCTAACAATTACAAGAATAGTTCCTTTCATAACTATCTACGTGGTGTACCGAAAACATTATATATATCATTACTTTAACCATGTAAAAATTCAAAAAAGAAGAATTCAAAGTAGAAGAAATAAATAAATACATAAATAAATAACAAACACAATATGTATAGGCCTATCGGCAAACAGGGGTGGCGCCAGAGGGGGGCCACAGCCCCCCCCGTCGGGGGANNNNTTCATCACAACAACCACAATAATAATAATAATAATAATAATAATAATAATAATTCAATGAGACTAATTAAAAATAATTTGCATTCTGTTATGACAAATGCTCATTTAAATAGCCTCGTGATGGTTGGAATACATCGTGATAGGTGAAGCAACCTCGACCATGACAACGTAGTTGACAGATTTCATGCAAAATTTCCAAAATATATAATTTCACTTTCAAGAATGAGGATTTGAAAATAAATTAGATGGTTACATTGCATACTCTTTGTTTCTTGCTTTATTCAAAATGTTTTGGTTTTGGAAGCTGGTGTCAACATTAGAAAGCATAGCCTACATGAAGTCATATTATAGCAACTCGATGCCTATCAAATAAGTAATAAAAATTCGCCATTAATTCGCCCCCCTGGACCCCCACCGGGGTCCCTAGGCGGCCCCCTGGCCCCAGCCAAGTGAGACTTGATTCGCTCCACTAGCCCCCCCCCCGTCGGGGCCTTTAGCTTTCCGTCGGGCAGGTCTTGGCGCCACCCCTGTCGGCAAATGTAGTGTTTTTTTGTACCAATTTAATTTTTAACTAAATGAATTTGATGTGTGTCTGTGTAGGCCTACCATCGTCATATTTTTCAGCAACACCGATCATTATATGACCATCACGTTGGTTATTAATAATATTATAGTGACGATATTTATAATAATAATCAAGCCTACTATAGACAAAGTCTCTACGGTAAATAAATACAAACAAATAGGCCTATGTTCCATGTCATTCACCCAACACCCGGCCTTCTCAACTAACAGCTGCTGTACCTAATATTTCTGACACAGAAAATGTTTTAGCTAACTGCTTCCGTGTTCATATCACCAGTATTGTACAAAAAAAAAAAACCCGCGAATGTTCGTCCACTTCACATGGCTGTCGTCCAACTGCAGCTATTTTTAAAGGATAATTTCTGTTTTATATCAAAGCATTTATGGATTTTTTTTTTTTTTTTTTTTTTTTTTAATTTTGTTATCCGATGTATTGTTTTACCAGGTGCATTTTATTGCCAAGTGCACTTCTTACCCGATGCATTTTTTGCTACCCAGTGCATTTCATTCATCGATGCATTTTGTTACCCGGTGTATTTGATTACCCAGTGCATTTCATTACCCAGTGCATTTTGTTACCCAGTGCATTTAGTTATCGGATGCATTTTGTTCATCGATCATTGTTGCGTAAACTGCGTTCCATAGGGTTGTATAGGGGTTTGTACCTACCGGATTTATTCGGCCTATACTTTTTCAGCTTTAAAGTCACAACATCTATATCAACGTTTAACGATGCATCTTCACCCAGTGTGTGCATTACTGCATAACAGATACTTTCTGTTGTAGACAATTCCCGTAGGTCAACAACTAGAAGTTCATGGTACTCTATCTGACGATAGCAGGCCTCTTTTGCTAATCTGGTTTTACCCATACCCGGAAGTCCACTGATGCAGATAGTTGCCACACCATATTCATTTTTTTCTTTCAGCCGACTAAAAATTTCGTTTAGCTGGCCTTCCCTACCGATGAACGGGCCTTCAGATGCTGCTGGATGCATACGATAATGCCTAGCAATAACTGCATATTGTGAATCGTATTTGTCAAGCTCTTCGATCAAGTCCTCTCGCCTAATCTTACTGAGGATATGCCGTAGCAATTGGGTATCCCCTTCATGGATATAATTTCTTTTCTGCAACTTATCGAAGAAATCAAACGTATCTTTGACAGCATCGTAGTCCCTGCCACCGAGTCTGTCTTTGACCAGCGACTTAGCCTTCTTCAGCTCAGGGTCAGTAATCGAATTGGCTAAGCATACTATAAGCCACCGAAAACGACTGATTGATTTTGGATCTTTATCGGTGGACATGTTTGTTCTATTCCAGGGAGTTGTTAGTACACCTACCTACGATGGCGTCGCGTCATAATAGTTCACCATGTAAATTGATTCCATTGTGTCTGTCTGTGACGTAGCCATAATTACCTAGGAAACATAATCATAGGCCAGTAAAATCTATTGTATGAAGCAATCAATAACAATATTACTATGCAGTAGGTATAATAATAATAATTTAAAAAAATGATAGGACTGAAAATCCATAGTATGAACATGGAGGAAATATTTGAGGCAGGCCTACGATTATTAAGCATATCCTTTTCACAATGTAATATAATTAGGCCCCATAAAAAAACATTAGTTCACCCTATCAATGAATAAAAACTGATAAGATGTTCACAAGTAAATTAATGGTTAGGGACACATATAAAAAGATAATAAGAATGGAATCAAATTTATATTAAAGAAATATTTTTTGTTGTATCAGTAAACATATTTGCAAGAAATTCTGAGCTTTTCAAGTGAAAAAAGATGGAAAAACGACCGTTTGAAATAAAAATATATGTTGATTGAAAAAGAAAAAATAAATAATTATGTATATATATATTGTAGTGGCGAGTGTTCATTTATACTGATTTCACTTAAATTTATGTACTTGAATTATTTTATGTTACTTAATGTTTTGAAGTTCTACAATTATTACACTTTATAGTTACACTATAAGAGTTAAAAAATATACAATAGTGTATTAAAGTAGGCTGATGTACTGACCTATATAATAAGACTTTACAACCTGACAGGGTTATCTTAGGGTCAACTTCTGGCAAGGCAATTATGGTACCATATTACCATAGCAACAGACCACCGCAATGATAAGATTTAGCTTAATGCTGCATAGTTGGCACAATATTATATTCAGTTGTATTGGAGCCCAAAACAATTGGTAAGATTTCTTACTCTTCTCTAACATTATTTCACTCATTGTTAATATACCGTATTTAGTTATAACTGACGCTTATTATGTGTTCGTATAGACATAAGGGTTATAAGCTAGGATTTTATTTGTTTGAATTATTGATTTAGTACTAGAAATTGCAAATTGCAAGTGAAGTGCTGCGAAGTACAACTGCATATAAATGTTCTTCGAACAAAATTATTTATGCGAGTGAAGTGAAAATAATGAATAATAAAAATATAACTAGAAATTGCAAGTGAAGTGCTGCGAAGTAAAACTGCATAAAATGTTCTTCGAACAAAATTATTTATGTGAGTCAAGTGAAAATAATGAATAATAAAAATATAACAAATAATATGAGACACGACCCATTGTCTATATATAGAACAGCGTTGGTACCGTGTACAATAGTGTTTTGCTGCAGTGACATCTCGCTGCTGGCGATGACTCGCTGCTGGCGAATCGATCTGCGCATGTGTATAAAATGGTATTTATTTCCGAAAACGGTATGCCAGTCTACAACAAGCGTCGCCTAAATGTAATAATTAGCACGTTGAAATAGGCTAGTAAATAAGTTTAACTGGGTTCGTAAATAATATTGGCCTCAAAATATTGTGGCTGAGACATGAGCCGAGTAGAAATAGGAAACCTAGAAATATAGTAAAAACGCTGAATAGTAATACTCCA